AGCCAGGCCCTCCCACCAGACACACCTGCCTCCAGCACAGCTCCCTTCAGCCCCGTTATCAGGCAGCGGCTCCAGGGACGGGGCGGGCTACATCGCCCGACCTAAGGGACAGACACCGACAGGGAATGAGCCTTGCGGGGCCGGTCTCCCCGCTCCCTGCAGCACCGTGACCCGTTCACCAGCCGCCCGGGCCAACACGCTCCCTCTGGCGGCTGGTTCCCCGGAGCGCTGCCCCTCCCGGCGGCGCCCCCCGCCCGCCAGGCTGCTCCTGGCCCCCGGCTCCGGTGGCGCGAACACCGGCCCTCCGCTGCCCCGCCCCGCGGCTCTGCCCGCGGCGCTTCTCGCACGGACCCGGCCGCCTCCCGGGCGTGTCCTGCCCCGGCCCCTCCCCCTCATGCTGCGCCAGGAAGGGCGGGATCTCCATCCGCACAAACTCACCCTTCGCCCTAGTGCGCATGCGCTGAACTGCAGGCGCACATGCGCATTGTCCGTACCGAAGCCAATTGCGCGGCTGCCGATGCCCGGAGTCCAAGCAGCGCTGGGGCTGTGCGCGGGGATAGCGCCCCCGGCCGGGCGGGCGGAGAGACAGTGGCCGCGGATGGGGCGGGGTTAATAGACGGGGATGGAGCCCGGAGGCAGGTGGAGGTAAGCACAGAGAGGCGGTGCCCCTGTCGCTGCTGGATAGAGAGATCTGGTGTCTGGTTTTTTCCCTTGTTATTTAGTTTTAGCCTTCCCAGTGCTCGCACAGCCGGGGTCCTCACCCTCTGTCAGCCTCTGCTCTTTCCCCATCACTGTCTGCGTGACTGCAGCAGCTGGCTGGCTCAAAGAGCTTCCTGCCATTTAGTGCTTCACAGACACCCCCGGCCTGGGAAAACGTTCTTTGTTTTAGATCCTTGAGCAGCGTTCCGCTTAGTTTTACACCAAAGGGCACCTTGACTCCAAACTTTCTTTTCCTGCTCTACCACCAGTCACAATCTGCTGTCCTGGGCAGCAGCCACGCACTCTCCCCCCCACCCTCAGATTGAAAAAAAATGTAGTCAGGGATAGTATTTGCCCAGTATGAATGTTACTTCAAATTTTGGTGGTGTAGTCTCCCCCTCCTTAACCTCTGGGGAGCAGAGGAAAGGTCACTGGCCCCTGCTTTGTCCCTCTTCCCTTTGGTGATGCCTGCCCTCCCTAGTTAGGATATATGCTTAACCACATACTTAAATCCCACTGAAGTCAACAAGACTCTCACCCATGCATAGTCAATCATGTACTAAATTACTTTCTTGAATCAAGGCCTCAATACACTGATGAAACTATATGCTAGTGCCTTTCTTAATGCATGTTAATGAGAGGTTAGGATATATAAACCTTAATTGCTAGACGGACCTTTGGTCTCACCCAGTATGGCCAGTCTTAATTGTGAGGATTACTATAACAGACAGCTATGACAGGACAGGTTTCTGTCCATTTGTAAATTTCACCACAAAGGTTGCCACACTACAGAGCTAGAAATTAATATTTGGAAGTAGTTACAGGTTTCCCTGAAGAATCATGTGTGTCCTTCCATCAGCATGATAAATACACAAATGGTGATTTCTCTTCTCATAACAGAAACAGGTGGCCTTTCCATCACTGCTTTGAATGACTACTTGTAGGGAAACTTACCAAAAACTCACATTTCTTTGTTTATCCAGATTTAATAATTCCACTTCAACCAAAGCCATAGCATTTCTGCCCATTTCCACTTTATGAAAACTGGTCTCTTTGAAGGGCTTATATATTTTCATCCATGGCACATTAATGCAGTTGCTGTCCATTTAGATCAAGAGCAGCAGTCCTGAGCTTTCACATAGAGATGAATTTCTTGCTTCAACCTCACTACCACCACTTCTCTCCCTCCCCTCAGCATGCTGCAGGATATTTATTGACAGAATGAGTGAGTGTTTTAGACAGTAATGCTATCGAGTCAAAACAACTCAGGTTGTAAGATTTTGGTTAGGAAAAAATCACATGCTAATGTCTGTATTCAGCTCTAGTGCCTACTTTCTCGTCAGAAGATAACTCTAGTAACTGGAAGAAATAGGTCAAACTGATTTTCCCCATCCCCGTTTCCTCCAGTCTAGATACTGTGATCAAAGTTGATACAAACACTTTCCTTCAATCAGCCTTGTGCTAAAGACTGGATCAGAAATCAATTCAAGGATTTAGATCTGACTGAATATAGCCTCCCCCTTCCAGGGCCATTAACTGTTGCAGGGAAATATTTTCTGGTGACCGTAAACATTTGTATTTCCATTCTGTAAAAATGCAAACAGAATGCTGAGAACTCCCCCTGGCAACCAGACTTTCAAAAAGTTAGGAGGCATTATTTCATGTGACCCCTCTGCAAAGCTAAGGGAACCAAGTGGATATACACAAATGCCTCACTGTAGCAACACAGACAAACAACTTGTATATAAAGAATGGTCTTAAATTAAAAAAAATACCATCCCTGGATACTGCAGCTAGGTCTAAGATTCATGCTTCAGCCTAGGCTAGGGGCAGAGCAAGTATTGCAAAGGATGACAGGTATATCAGCTGGAGCAAGAGGACAGTAGAAAATAATTTTCCATGTCTGGCTCCATCTACATCCACAACCATTCATGGCAAGTAGAACAACGAACCTACTAGTCGTGAGCTTGAGTCAACTCTCAAACAATGAATTTAAGGAGTATGAGAATACCAGTGTGTGTGATATAAGCTTATAAGGAAGTTTAGGGCTAAAGTGTTCATCTTAAGTAAGTGTTTTGTAACCAGATGTGCAACAGACTAAATGAAGGAGGGCATGGGAAGAAAAGAGGAGTACTGGGGGTGTTTTCACTTCATCACTCGGATCGATCCCACTGCTAGAAGAGCTCCTATAACCATGGGTAATGCAGCAGGCAACTTCTTGAAGGCCACCTTATCATCCTGCTCCCACAATTCCCATTATATAGCCAGCTACAGGAGCAGTTGGCATGTCCAATGTTGGAAGCAGAGGAAACAACAGGAAGGTCAGGTGAGGCTTAAAGAGACTTTTACCAATTACAAGCTCTCTCATTCAAGTCCCTACTTACTATTAAGTTATATAAAAGGTCTTACATAATGGTACCAGTGGTTAGCTGAGTGATTGAGGAGACACTATCAACTTGAAATTACAAAACCTTGTATGTAATCGTTCTTACCATAGTTACAAGTAACCCCCAAAATTACTTTGACTGAAAAGAGATGGTTCACACTTTTTTAGTTTATTTACTTGTGCATTTGACAACACTTAGTGAACCTGACCCTATGCAGTTTTTGTGAACAACATTCTCAGAGCATTGAAAAAATGGGTGTTTAGCAGTAATAGCGAAGCAGAGCCAAAATGAAGAGTGAACAGTCAGCAAACAGGTGTATGCATATACAATGAAAGAGCATGCAGAAGGAGAGGTGTTCCTCTTAGGCCAACCCAAAAGACCCTTCTCAAAAACAAAGGTGGGGGAAAAAGCCAGAAGCCATCACATTTTAAAAAAAGAATGGTTTTAAAAATTTAAAGGCATGCTATTTTAAGGGTTCAGTAGCGCAAAACTGAGGATTTTTAATTAGCCTGTTCAAAAAAGAAAAATTAAATTGCCAGGATCCCTTAAAAAAATGCCCCAGAATTTGTGATAAGGATTGATGCTACTTACCATATTGGATCTTCTAGAGTCAGAGCTAGAATCAGGAACCTTTAATCCAAGTACTATACAGTGTAAAAAAACAGCACTATTTTCCTTATTTTTTTTAATTAGCATTTTTGTGATTTTAAATTCTAAAACATTTGTTACTGTAACACAGTAGCTGGGCAGGGTAAAGGCTCTCCACCTAGACACAACTGGCATAGATCCATAGAGACAACCCACGGTACCCATATGCACCATCACAGCGAGCCATACAACCCTCTCTCTATCCACCAATATACATACATGTGACATGGGTTATGTAAGCACATGAAGGATCAGTATATCCATAAGCAAGTGTGTGCGCAAAGGGTGCAACTGTTAATTAAGTTTCCAGTTTATTAAAGTCCTGGATAGTATTATTTTGCAACTGACATGATCCTTCTCTTTCAAATAAAGGTACTTCACTAAAAACTATGAAAGAATTCACAGAGGTGCGGATGGGCTATATCTAACTAAGAGGACTGTGCAGTCCTGGCAACGGCCTGCGCAGTCCTGGCAACGGTCTGCAATGACAGATCTCCAAATCTGGTGCTGGAGAGCAGTCACTTTCTAGACAGCAGTACCCATCAGTTCAGGGTCAGGACTGCACCAAAGCTCTATTTAATACACCAATCTTTGGGGAAAACTCAATCTGACACACCCCAAAAGAAATCCAGCTACAATGTCCAGCACCTCCAAGGGGCTTCACTCTCTACATTTGTCCTACAAATTCTCTAACCTCATTCTTCAATGGCACGGGGGCTTTTTCCTCTTCACTTATGTCTTTACTTGTAGAGATCATGGAGTTCTTCCTGCTGCCTTATTAGAGTCATATTGGCAATATTTGGGGAAGGTAGCTGTGGACTGACCTATGTGCATAGAGTATGGAGGTTTCTTAAGAAGCGTGGACAGGTTTCACTCAGGTAAGAAGGGAAACAAAGCAACCACTAGAGCAGGTGAGGTACTACAGACTCTAAGACATCTTCACTTGGTGAGTGCGCTCATGTCTCCTCAAGGAGCCTGACTCTGTGAAGTCTTGAGCACAGTAAGCGCAAGAGTAGGGTTTTTCTCCAGTATGGATCCGCTGATGACGCTGTAGTGATGCCAGCCGCGTGAAGGTTCCACCACACTCCTCACAGTAGAAAGGGCGCTCTCCAGAGTGAGTTTGCTGATGCCTTTTCAACCTGAGCAGCTGGATAAAGGACTTTCCACATTCTTGACACTGATATGGTTTGTCCTGTCGGTGGATCACCTTGTGTTTCGACAGCAAATTAGGTTTATGGAAACCTTTGCCACATGTTGGACAGATGTAAGGTTTAGACTGTTCTCCTCCAGGCTTTTGGTCATCTGAACACTGCTGATAGGTATCTCCGCCACCATTTTGGTTCTGGTGCACTGAAGACCATGGGTTCCTAACCATACCATTTCCTAAAATTTTTGAACGTTCAATCTTGTGGACGTTGCGTAGGTGCCTCCAGACGTCAGCCGTGCGGATGAACCCCTTGTCACACTCCGGACACTTGTGTGGCCTGTCACTAGAATGAATGAGCTTGTGCATTCGCAAGTTCGCAGCACGGAAGAACTCTTTGCCGCAGATGGGGCATTGGTATGAATGCTCTGTCAGGTGGATCTGTTTGTGTTCCTGTAATTCACCCAGATCCTGGAAAGAGGCACCACACTTCTTGCACCTATAAGGCAAAGCTTCTCCAGAGATGGGCTCCAGGTCCTCCTCACCAAAGGCATCAATAAGAATGATGTTTTCATCATCCTCACTTAGCCCTCCCTGAGGTTCCTCAGAGTGCTCAGAGGAGTAAAGCTCCAGATCCTCATCTTCACATTGCAGGTCAAAATTGGTGCTGGAGGTGACAAACACCGCAGCGGTGGTTGAATCACGCTTCTGGTAGTAGTTTTCATAGGTTTCCTCCTCTTCACACTGCAATTCTACAGGGAGTTCCTGTCTAACTGAAGGTCCAGCAAGGCTGCAAGCAGGACTAGATGGTGGTGAGTAATCTTCCTCTACCTCCAGCTGGAGGCTGGCTTTGCGACCCATCCGTTCAGAGATATGGCTGGAGTCATCTGAATGCTCCTCACCTGTGTCACAAGTGTCATTATCAGACTCCCAGTCAACCTCCACATCCATCCTGTGGTGTCATAGAAGGTGCTTACTGATGAGTGATCATAGAGACGTGTACATATGTTCTCTCATGATTAGACCTTTTCATCTTCAGCTCCAATTGCAGCCTCCTGGGGAAGGAGAGAGAGGGGGAAGGGGGAGAGGCAAGGAGAGGGAAAAAAATATTTCATTACCTGACTTGCTGACGTTGATGTCAGGAAAAGTGAACAAAGGATACTGAGACATTTGCCTGTCTAGTTCCCCAGAGGATACCCTGCTATTTTACTACATTGGCACACGGAAAATTCTTTTAATTGAAATATTTAATTAGCCACAGGTAATGCAAGATTTTCTCCTTTGTTTTATCATAAAACGAAGTAGAAAAATCTCATTCTCTCTTGTACCTGGATGACCCATATGCAACTACCTCAAATACTTGGTGATGTGATATTTTGCACCTTCTAATTTGTTTTTCTTTTCTAATAATTATTTAGAAGTTAGTACCACCTCTCTTTGAGCACTTCTGTTGCCATTCTCCATACCCATATTACATTTTCATAAAATGTGACTTGTTAGATCTGAACTCTGCTGGCCCAGATATATTGCTACATGATCTCCCCACTTTTCTGACAATTAAGCTAAGTAAAGCACTTTCTAGCTATAGTGCATACATGGCCCCCATTAATATTACATCAGTATCTGAGCACAGAGTCTAAATCTAACATTCATCTTCACAATACCTTGTGAGGGAGAGAAGTGCTATCACCACCATTGTACAGATTGACAATTGAGGCACAGAGAGGCTAAGTGACTTGCCCAAGTTCACAAAAGAAGTCTGTGGGATCAGGGACTTGAACCCAGACTGCCAAAATCCTAAACTAGGGACCTAACCAGTTGACTGTCATCATTATCCACAGTCTGTGTGTGAAGTGTGCACCAGAGTACACAGTAGAAGCAGCAGGTGCATTTTCTTTTATTATTATTTTAGTCTCTGTCCCTTTAATCTCAGGCAAATCCAAAAACATGTCTGAGTTCTCCATTTTCTTTGAAAGTTCCCCAGAAGATATCATCTCTCATTGCTAGCTGGTGCAAGTCAGACTGGGGGCTAGTACTGTATAATTTATTAAATATTTTAAACTACGTTAAATCGAGAGCTGCAATCCCTACTGACCATGCGCCTTCTTCTGCCTACTTGGCCTATTTCTTTTCAGAATATTTTAAAGTTTCCATATTAGAGAGCCCCTGCATCTGAGCAATTAACAAATGGGTCCCTTTCAGCAGGAGCCAGCTTGAGATATTCAAGCTCACCAGGCCAGAGCCGTAACAAGGAATTTTAGTGCCCACGGCAAGCATGCTTATTTGCACCCCCTAAAGGCAATGTGTAGCGGGATATGGGGGGGGGTCACATGCCCCCCAGATTTCTGCCTTCCATTTAGCACAGAGATTTTCAAACTGTGGGGCATGCTCCCCAGGATGCCCATCCCAGTTTGAAAACCATTGCCTCCTGCCAGGAGCCGGTGAATCGGAAGCTGGTGGGAGCTGCTCTCTGCTCAGGGTCTGCTCAGGCACCTGGCTCTCCGTGCTGTGGGGGGTCAGGGTGCTAGCTGACTGCCCAGCAGCCATCCCGGCCTTGTTTCCCAAGCTTGGCCACCTCTGCACTGCCAGGCACTCCCCACGCAGGCAGGGCAGCACAGTCCGACCTGTGCCTCATACGCGTTCATCTCTCCCCCAACGGAGCTTGGCGCTGGCCAGTGCTGCCCCTGGAGCCAGCCCCTACCTGCAGAGCCCAGCTGCCATGAGATGCTCCCAGAGGTGCTCGCTGGCCACTGCCCTGGCACTCCTGGCTCTGTTGCTGCTGAGCTGGGCTGTATAAGCAGGGATTGGCTCCAGGGAGCATTGCTGGCTGGCACTGGGCTCCTTTGGGGAGAGGCAAGTGTGTGTCGGGGGTTAGCTTGGAGCTGTTCCGCCCATCGTACCTGGGAAGCACCTGTCTGTGCAGAGGTGGCCTGGCACAGGGAGTAGGGCAGAGAGGGCTGCCAGGCAGCCAGCCAGCACCCTGGCTCCCACAGCACAGAGAGCCAGCGGCATGAGAGGCTTCCACCAGCTTCTGATCCACTGGCTCCTGGCAGGAGGCGACGGTTTTCAAACTCCGCTAAATGGAAGGCAGAAATCTGGGGAGAGGGGCACGTGACCCCACCCTGGTTATGGCCCTGCATTAGGCAACAACAGATTTTTTTGCGGCCATGACAGCCTCCAAAGTGTGGGCAGAGATTGTGGGGGGCAAAGCAGCAGCCCCTCCCTGCAGCACCCAGCTGTTGCTCCTGAATAGGCATTACCAAGGGCAGCAATGCAGAGTCTTGGTGTTTGTGCTGGCGCTGCCGCTTCGGAGGCTCCAGGCTCTGGAGATACATGGGCGTGGTGTGCACGGCCATAGGCGCCGACTCCATGGGTGGTCAGGGCCTGGAGCACCCACGGGGAAAAATTAGTGGATGCTCTGCACCCACTGGCAGCCAAGCTCCCCTCCTCCCCACCTGCTCCTCCTCCCCCCGAAGCAGGCCGTGTCCCTGCTCCTCCGCCTACCTCCCAAGCGTTTCCCACCCGGCCACCGCCAAACAGCTGTTTGGCAGCCTTAGCACGCTTGGGGGTGGGGAGTGAGGAGCAGAAACGTGGCGCGCTCAGGGGAGGAGGCGGGGAAGGGGCGGGGATTTGGGGAAGCGGTTGGAATTGGGGCAGGGCCTCATGGAAGGGGTGGAGTGGGGACAGAGCCGGGGGGAGGGGAGGGTCAAGCACCTAGGGGAAGAGGGGAAATCGGCACCTATGTGCACGGCACCGGCTCTTCTCATTGGAGGCAGCTGCAGTGTTTGGTCACCAGGGCACTCCCCTGTTCCTGCCTGGGGCACAGGGAGCCTGGGACCCCGCAGGTAGCCGGTGAGTTCCTGACCCAACTTCCCCGGGAAGAGCGCTCGCTGAAGGGCCGCGGGAGGCAGGGATAGAGAAACACGGCAGAGCTTCCCCTGCTTGGGTCCACACTCACTGTTTACAGTTGCTGTAGCTACCCCAGTAGCTCAATGGCTCTGGGCTGCTGCAGAGTTTGGCAGCTCCCCAGCAGGATGAGGGGCTCCCTCTCCGTGACAGGCTCTGAGCACGAGAATAGGAGCAAATTCCCGGTGCACTCAACAGGGAGCTCTACTTCTTACTGCTCTCCCACTACATAAATAAATGTCCATGATTTGGACATATATATATATATATATATGTATGTATGTATGTATGTGCATATTTTTTCATTTTTCCTAATGTTAATTAAGTACTTTAGGAAAAATTGTCAGAGTGACCACCAGCAAGAGTTGGCGGCCGCACTCTGAGGCCACCAAAAATGTCATCGTGAGAACCTCTGCTCTAAAGGTCTAATCTTTAATTCCCAGGACCAAAACTCCCAGAGGAAGACAAGCTTCTTTCAGCAACCAGGGTCTTTATCATAAGATTCATGTTAAGTATGTTACTAGAGACACAAGGTGAGTGAGGTAATATCTTTTATTGGACCAACTTCTTTTGGTGAAAGAGACAAGCTTTTGAACTCACAGAGAGCTCTTCTGTAGGTCTGGGAAAGGTGATCAGAGTGTGACAGTTAAATAGGAGATGGAACAGATTATTTAGCATAAGGAGTTCACACGTGCTGCAAGAGACCATTTAAGGTGAAGTGGGCAATTAACACCTTTGCAGTTGTAGGACAAAAGAGGATTAATGGGTTACAAATTTTTGTAGTGAGCTATAAATCCAGTATGTTTATTAACACCATGATTTTTAGTGCTTAGCAAAGCTCCCAGGCTCATCTTTTGAAGGTGGTGTGCAGATTTCATTTAAGAAGGAGGACAGAGATCAGATATGGAATGACTGCTTTATGAGAAATGTTCGCCCACAGGCAATATGGTATTTTGTTTTGTTTTTTTAATCAATTTTCTGTGAGTTTGACAGCATGGTGATTCTCATTTCACCCACACAGTTGTTACTGGGACATTTAGTGCACTGGAGGATGTACACCAGATGTTAAGCCAATTACCTCACCCACCTCATCTCTCTCATATCCTGGGACCGACCCAGACCACCACCACTACTGCACGCCACGTTGCTAGAGACATTTAATTTTTATGCGTATCACCAGGAAGCTTTGCCACCAAGTATTTCTTTCCTGATACTAATTATAAAATGTAAGCTACAAGCTCCAGCCACCGTAGAAAGACTGTACAATCAACCCCATAGCAATGAGCAGCTGAGGATGGGGACGGGACAAAAGAAGCTGCCGAAGCTCATGCTATGAGGAAGTTTTGTGTTGTAAATGGCTTGTCTAGTTTTTGGATAGACTTTACAAAAACTAGAAGCTCATACTGTTCACTCTCAAAATCACCAGGGGCAAGAAAGCATTGTGATCTCTTTAGCCATCTCCAGCCTGTCATTATGACTTGCATTATTGTGAAACTCTTCAGGGTCTTCCAGACCATTGGTAACAATCAGCTGGTCCCACAGACAGGAGATTTTGGAAAAAATGAACAAGTTGAGAAAAGATTTTCTAACTATAACCCAAGACACAAAATCTATGGCTGAGCGCTAAATAGCAGGAAGTTGTGCCAGGGAGGGATGAAGAGGAAGAGAATTAGGAAAGAATTGCTGGAACAATTTGACCAGGTGATGATGCGAGTACTCTGATTTCTCAAACCTGTGGTTTTTTTCTTAACATGTGCAAGTTTAAATTGTCAGCTACTTCCCCACGCAAGTGGTTCCCAACTAATTTTGCCAATACCCACTCTGACCGCTCAACTTATAAGACGGGTCCAAGAGAGGTGGGTCTATTCCTTTGCAGACTTCCTTAATGTATGGTGTAGGAGGAGGAAAGTGCAGATTCAATAATTTCTGCAGTGCCTTTTTTTTTTTTTTTTTTTTTTTTTTTTTTTTTTTTTTTTTTTTTTTTATTTTTTTTTTTTTTTTTTTTTTTTTTTTTTTTTTTTTTTTTTTTTTTTGAAGTCAGAGTGGTGGAGAGGACTTTTTCCTCCTGATTTTGTACATATTCAACATGTTCGGTTTAAAAAACAAACATGCACAAATCTAACCTTAAAAACTAATACAGATTGAGGTACTTGTATATGCTGAAGGGCTACCACAATATTTTTGATCTATATTTTTCTATATCATAGTTTCTGGATTCAGTAGTTGATAATTATTAAAGATATCATCTAATTATGTGTGCATCCAAAACACAAATGGGATTTCTCCAATTCTTCCCTATGGAATGTCTAGATTCCAAGGAGGAACATGGGTTTTCTGCACAATTGGACATAAGTAATTTCCCCAAACCACACAGGCTTCCTGAAAGGATTGTGCTCTCATTTAAGGCATATCAAAGATCAGTTTGTAGGGAACTCCTCCCCAATGTGCCCCCAGACTTGTCTTGTTGCTTCTGCAGCTTCCCTCCCCTTTTCCTGACACTCCTTCCCCACTATTCCTTTTAGAAGAGTCCAGTGTCCCACTAGAATGAACACTAAGGCCTGGTCTACCCTAGGAATTTACATAAGTATAGATACATCTTGGGGGGGTGAGAAATCCACACCCCTGAGAGGCATAGCTATACTGACCTAACCCCCAGAATACTTCTTTCGTCGACCTAGCTACCACAGCTCAGGGAGGTGGATTACCTACTCTGAAAGAAGAATCCTCCCCGTTGGCATAGGTAGTGTTTATACTGAAGTGCTGAAGCAGTGCAGCTGAAGCGTTTTAAGTGTAGACAAGCCCTAAAATAAACCCAAATTGCCAATCTAGCCCAATCTCTATTACAGATTAGGATGAGTTCATCACGGGGACAGATTATCCCACATCTACCTACTGGGGTTTCTTGCCCTTTGAAGCATCTGGTGCTGGCCACTGTCAGAGACGGATACCCAACTACACGGACCACAGATCTAATCTAGTATGGCCATCCCCTTATACCTAACAGACATCCTACATGTACCTCAGCTTCACTTTGCTAATGTAACATGGTCTTCCCACACCCCTCTCCATCTCTCTTTATTCCCTGCAGTCTCCCGATTTCCTCTTGCTGAGTTTTGTCCAAGTTCTGCTCCAAGTGATTAAGATTTCTCTGAGTCCAAGTGCCTGTCTTCTCCCAGATAGAAAACCAAGCCTGTATTTTAGAAGGCAAAATGAATTTTCCAAAATACTAGTCACTTGAGAACTCTCCCAACTCTCTCTGGCTTTGCCCAACTACCACTTATTTTCTCCCCCTCCAGACCAGGGTTTACCTCTCAATTTCCCATCCCTCACCTCCTGGTTGTACCAGTTTCCTTGGCCCCTCTTTTCCTTTATCTATCCACAGGGAGTTTCAATAGTGAAACTAACATACATTCATGAATTTATTCCTCAGTGCCAGGCAGAGCTCTGCAGGACTCTCGGACATCCTTACTCCTATTCTAGCCGTGCTTTTGATACACCTGCTGAAAACACTCATCTTTTAGACTGTGTCTGCCCCACTCCTCTCTTCTTTGCTGACATTACCTTCTGCTAGCCTTTCAATGCAACCCTCCCAGCCGCTGGCATAGCAATGCCTGGATCCTCACGGCTGCTGCACCTGTTGGCTTGAATTGGTTTCCATTATATACAGCATTTACAGTTTGGTTCAATGGCTCTCAGCACCCTCACTATACGAATTGTTCCCGCACCCCTGTGTATCCTCGTCACTCTGCACCACCTACTCTGCCCATGGTCTGCAACCCCTCCCCACACTGCTACAGCCGGGCCATTCCTGCAGAGCAAGGTCCACTCCTGTACCCCCTTCCCCACACTAGCATGGCACACACATCTCCCACCCTTGCTAGCAGGAGCAGCCTCCTGCGGGTTGCCCCTTCCCTCCTGGGCCTTGTGACTTGGCAGGGCCAGGCCGAGAACGGGGAGGAAATGGGGTACCCAGACCTGCTCCCCAGCCCCCGGAGCAGCCAGCTGGTACCCGGTGGGGAGGGGGCAGCAGCCCGGCCATGGCCGGGGGGAAAGGCGCCGGGGCGGGCAGCAGCTCCCCGCCGCGAGCGGGGCAGGGGGTGACCCAGGCTGGGGGGCAGGGAGGAACCGCGACTAGTTACCGGCGCTCCCAGGACTGGAACCGCTCACACGGGGGAGGCCCCCGCTCTGCAGCCGAGCTCCGCACGGCGCCGGCCGGCAGACCCAGCCTGCCTCGGCCCGACAGCCTCCCCCAGGCGCCGCTCACAGCCCGGCCCGGCCGGCGGAAGCCATTGTCTGCCGGACCGCCTGCAGGAAGGAAAAAAACAAACACCCCTGTGTGACTGACAGAGCCAGAGCCCGCCCCCCGCGCTGCCCAACCCGTCTGACTGAGACAGAGACAACCCCGCCCTGCTGTGACTGCCAGCCAGAGACCAGCCCCCCACACCCAACTGCACAGCCTCCTCTGAC